CAGTGCAATTGTTATTTGACTCTGTCTGTTTGGTAAGGACCTTTGGCTGACCGTTTTTGCGGTGCTGATACTGAATGAATCATCACAGTATCATTGACCATGGTGTTGATGGAGGACACGTGTCGTGTTCTCCTTAATCGTGTTATGTTTTTGGCGACGTTCCTTAATGTATTTCCGGTTTGCTTGAACGGATGTGGTGAATCTGTTCACGATTGACGCGCTGTGAACTTGCGACGACGTCCACGTTCATCCCGGAGAGTCTTCTCGCCTTCTGCACGACTCACGTTCTCGGTCCATGAAAACCGGTCATGGATAATGGGTAACCCACGTCTGGTTAGGAACGATGGTTACTCCGTCTGCTGTCTGGGAGCAGACCTTGGTAGTTTATTGGTCCAATGAATTCACGAAGTTCCTTCTTGTTGGTATGAAGAGCGATAGTTTGATCGCATCTATTATTTTTTTTGTTAAGGGTTGGATTCCTTCTCGAGTAGTTCAATTGTCTAGATACTCAAATTCTTCCTTTCGAGGAAGGCCTTTGGATTAGTGTTGATTTGAACCCCGACTTCTTGAAGTCTTGGAAAAGGTCATCTAACTAGATTCAACTGATCCGCCAATCGCACTCTTAGGATGAGTGGATCATCAACGTATGCACGGGAAATTTCTAAGTCATGCATGCGTTTGTTCATCTTCCTTTGGAAGATGTCGGCACTATTACATAGGCCCATTGCAACCTCTGGTACTCGTGCTTTCCCCTCAGGAGTGCAATGGTACAGTTTTGCTTCGAGAGAGGTGACAGCTCGATGTACGGTAGTGTCACGTGTTCAGGTCTTGACTAGTATCGTACTTGATTCCATCTAGGTTCAAGAGCATGTCCTGCATTTTTGGGATAAGATAAGGCTTCCGCTTGATTCTTTTGTTCAGTTCCCGGAAAGTCAGAGATGAATCGTAAAGGTCCCTCTTTCTTGGGAATGATAAAAGTTGTTGCCGCCCGCACTCGTAACGATTCACCTTCTTGCATACTCCTTGCCTCGCAAGAATGTTTCAAACCTCTTCCTTAAGAGTGTTGGTATGGACTCGTGTAATAGGGTAAGCCCTTGCTTGATAGGTTTTAGCATCATGGAGAAGTTTTACTTTGTAGTCGTCCATTCGCCAATCTCCCAAAGTATCCTCGACTGGGCCGAACCACTTGGTTGAAAAGGCATGAAGCAGTTCTTGCTCTTCCTATTTAACTGGTTTCGACTTTGGCACATCTGCCTTAAAAGTCAGTCTGTTCGTATTTCGCATCAAAAATCTTCTTGAGACTATCAGCACTGTCGCTGACAGCTACAGAATCGGAAATGGAGAAATTCTCCTTTCTATCGGTATCGACATCTTTCGCAGGGAAAAATACGCTGTTTCACCCCAATGACATGGTAATGAAATCAAAACTTGATTATTAGGTCGAAGAGTGTGTCTTTACCTATGATCATGTCTTGCGCCCCCAAGTTATTGGTGAAGTGTAAATCCAATTCGATAATCCTATCATCATGGAACTCAGGAATCACGAGTGTGCCCTTAACCTTCGTGCGAGGTTTCGATTCCTTCATAGAAGCAGTCCGTAATTGTTGGACGCCCCCATGATTCTTCATGAGTAAACTCTTTGCATGATTTTGAGTAATTAAAGTTCCGGATGCTCCTGTATCCAGTAAGCAACAGAGTTTAACGGGTTTTTTGTTCCCTTTCTCTCGTCTGTTAAATCTAACATAGACGATAGTTCGAGGTCTCTTGTCTTACGACTTTGCATTGAGTTGATTGTCCTTGGACGAAGTTAACGATGCGGAACAGATCGTTCAGAGTCTAGTTGAGTAGTTGCCAGGCATTTATCTAATCTTCCGTAGACTTCATTAGTTCCAAACAAATCTTGTTACTATTTAGTGAGATAACTTCATCACTTAGGTATGAGAAATCGAACATGGTCCGTTGAATCATCATCCTGCCTAATCCTCAGACGGAGATCTCACCATCCGAATGATTGAAGTCGAATTCTGCAAGCGCCTTGTCGACGGCAGCCATTTTCTTATCCATCATGTTGATGAATCAAACAGAGGAGTCGTCCTCATTGTCGGAGTTGTCTGACTTGCGCTTGGGAACATGGTTGCAGTTCGCTTTTCTTCCTGCGATCAGCCTTGACCGCAGCTTTGGAAACTTTCTTCATGAAGACAGAGAGTTCCTTCTTTGGTGTTTCTTTGGCGTCGTCGGACTTGCGTTTCCAACTCTTGTTCTTGTTGTACGCTGGCTTGTTCTCGTTTTCCGCCGCGCCTGAACTTGAGACCTTGGCTTTTAAGAATACATCAGCCCCAATACCAGCAGAAGATATAAGTAAGAAAAATAACTGACATCAAGAATAAAAAGATATACACACCATATAAATTATCCTTCAGATTAACTAAGAAAAAGAAATAGATCAGATTAGATAATACGAAAGATAAAAGAATAAATATAACAATAACTATGCTAGTATAAGTAAATATTCATACGAAAGGACAAATGACATAAAGAAAAAAAAAAAATACACTCCAAAAACTGTACAAAAAGTTAAAATGGAGGATCACAATACCGATTACAAGAAACCAAGAAAATCCAATGATAAAATAATACAAAAAATAAAGAGAATCGAGAAAGAAATCGAGATAACGTGTAATCGTAACAATCATACATAAATACATCCCGAACAAATGATATAACAAATAAGAACAAAATAAGTCAATAGACTTCAGTACATAATTACAGAATAAATATATATATACACAAGGTATAGAAACAGAAGGAGAATATCATCGAGATGCTTAATCACAGAAACTAAAAGAGTTGAATTCGACCATAAGCCAGAAAAATAGAATAATCAGCAAGAACAATAACGCATACAATATAACACCACAATCAGCAGTTATACTTAGACCTAAATCAAGAGCCATGATCAGAGAGACAAAACCACTATAAAATCACATAAAACATTAAAAGTAATGTCAGCATCGTCCAAAGCAGCCTGAGCTGCTCCGTCCCATGCAGCCTGGAAACGTATCTTGGAAAGTGGTTTCGTCTTCACCGCTACGTACGTCGCGTGGAGCTATCCCGTTGACTGCAATCTGGCGCCCGGCATTCCAACTGTATTTCACGATGTCCTGCACAGCTATATTCGTAACTGCTCTTGGCAGAGCGAGGAGTCATCTCCTTGAGGAGGTTTGGTTTGTCGTCAGGCGTAGAAATGGCGAGCCGACGAAGACTTCTCCATACTACCAGCCACTGATGGTCTGACGTGGAGTCTCAGACCCATTGAGGATTTGGGACTTGAAGGGTTACTTGGCGCTGTTAGCATCTGCTGGAATAGTTCGAAGTTTGTAGGTTGTAGAGCGAGAATCGTCGATTTCTCATTCATCGTCGAGGTCGGTGAGAAGAAGGATTGGTTTGTCACGCAGCTTAGACGTGAAGCTGGTGTACGCGTATTTGGCAATCTTCATTGTGAGAAATAGGTTGAGGGTAACTGAAAGCTATTGTGTTGTTAACAAAATAGACTACGGCTAAAAGCTAGTGTAAGATCTTCGAGTGTTTTGAGTTTGTGAGAAAATGAAGTTATGAGCGTATTAGAAAGCTATAAAAAATAATCAACGATTGAGATCCACAATCAAAGGATCGAAGATCTGAACTACCGCGGATGAGACTGTAGAGTGTGTAAGAGTAGGTTGCGGTAGCAATTCTACTCACTCCACGATCCAAAAACGAACCGGGAAGATTCAGTCGTAGCATTTATCTAGTAGCGTGGAAGTACTCCACGCTGCTAAATATCTAGAGCGATGTTTCATCATCAACCTAGTATGACTAGAGCGGTCATTGAGAACCGTCTCAATGACTATTCGCGAAGGAATACAGAGACTCAGTCATGAGTCGAACTCAAACCCTATCTAGGATCGAGTCGCGAATAAGGCTAAGAGCCGTGTATTGCATGAGTGCTTCCAGCTTCCTCTCTCATTCAGTGGAAGAGGAGCACTGAAATGCCTTGTGAGTCTTCTGCTCTCTCTGAGGGTTTCCATTGTCAGCTCATTCAAGTCTCCTGCTCCTCTTGTTACTGTATTCTTAATACAGAGAACGTGGTGTGATCTCTTTGGGACTCTGAGACCGAGATGTCTGGCCTTACAGATGATACACTGCTTGAGTGGATCAAAGACTTCTGCTACCTCTCCTCCCAGTGTTGTTTGGGGTCCTTCTTCTCTGGCTCTCTTGGATCGGTTGTTGTTGTTGTTGGCAGCCAGTTGGTAGGCTCTCTTCTGCTGGGAGTTTCTATTCTGACTTTGGCAACCCATTCCTGTGGCTGTTGTGGCAGCGCCAGTGGGTGTTGTGGCTGTTGTTACTTCCATGTTGCTGATGTGTTGTTGTTGCTGCTTCTGGTCGAGATAATGACTTGTGGATGAGCGGCTGAGCGGCAGCATGTCATGGTCGATCGATCGGCCGATCCGACGTTCACGGAATCTGTTTCTATTTTCGCGAAAGAAGAAAATCAGCGACTAGGTAGCACATTTTCCCCTGTAATAACTATAAATGGTACGTTAAGTATATTTGAATTTCGCCGACTCATTTGCTGATGTCATAGGTTGATTAGCCAATCACATTACTGCCTTCCACCCCTTTCTCGCCGGTTGGGACCCCAAAGCAAGTCGTCTCTACATGTACGAGACGAAATATGGGCAAACTCGGCTAACCCTAACCCTCCAAAAAGGACAAAAAAAGGGACGACCACAACAAAATTCTAACCCAGCCAACTCCGTGGTTGGCGAAAAGGGACGACCACAACAAAATTCTAACCCAGCCAACTCCGTGGTTGGCGAAATGGCCAATTGGAAAGCCTGAAATATGCTCACGAGAATGGCTGCCCTTGGGAGGGAGACACATGCGAAGAAGCTGCCAGAAATGGCCATCTAAATGTACTCAAATATGCTCACGAGAATGGCTGCCCCTGGTTTAGAAGCATGTGCTATGATGCTGCGCAGGGAGGAAATTTGGAGTGTCTCAAATATGCCCATGAGAATGGTTGTCCATTGGATAAAAACACATGCCTAATGGCAGCACGAAATGGACAGTTGGATTGTCTCAAATATGCCCATGAGAATGGATGCCCATGGCATGAAAGCAGGTACAACACGGCGGCTAGAAATGGTCACCTCGATGTACTCAAATATGCCCATGAGAATGGCTGTCCATGGGAGGAAGAAACATGCACTAGTGCTGCCAGCAAGGGCCATCTGGATGTACTCAAATACGCCCATGAGAATGACTGTCCATGGGATGAAAGTACATGCTCTGCTACTGCTTTGTATGGCGCTCTAGATGTTCTCCGATATGCCCATGAGAATGGATGTCCCTGGCATGAAAAAACCTGCTCGAATGCTGCTTGCCTGGGCCATCTAGATGTACTCAAATATGCAGTGGAAAATGGCTGTCCATGGGATGAAAACACCTGCTCTGGTGCTGCCGGCCGGGGCCGTCTAGATGTACTCAAATATGCAGTGGAGAATGGCTGCCCCTGGAATGAAGGCAACTGGTGCGGGGAAGTACTGGACAGGTGTTGGCTTGGGTTCAAGAACTTCTTATCTCAGAGGAATGAATGAATATATCAGTTAGTATCAAAAACTAGTCTTCTTCAAAAATTCTCAGGGGCAATGATTGGAGTTCGGACTGTCATTGCCAACTCAAACTCAAGATTTGTGGTTGATGCCGTCGTTTGCTTCTTTCGCAGTGGTTCCATGATGGTTGATTTGATCAAGCGAATGAGGCTTTGTCTGATGAACAAACCTCAAGAAGCCGAATGAGAGGATCGCACCATGCTTCCGCCATAAAAACCAAAGTCTTGAAGTTCTTTCAGCCCGGAAAGGCGAGAGTGGTGCCCTAACAACTACACTCGAAGGTGGGACGAGGGCAACAAGGGCATTGCCTGATCTATTTGAAACACTGGAATTGTTGAGAGAGAGGTATGAGGTTTATTTGAGTATGATTGGATTAATGAAGGCCTACAACTTGGGGGTTGCGTTGTAGCTGTGTTGTGCGTGTGCTTGGATTTGGCATGGTCTAGCATAAATAGATAGACTTTAAGCTTCAACGGTGACCACTTGATCATCAGAAGATCCTTCTTCCTCGGCCTCGTCAACCTTGACATCCTGCGGCTCCTGATCTTCTTCTTCCATGTTGGGGATCATCAAAGTTTGACGGTCTGTGTCCTCACCCCACAAGAAGCCGCGGTGTCCCTTGACGCACAGAAACAGGCAAGAAACTCCTGAGACGATGACAATGGATGCCATCAAATAATAAGCGTGCCTGACATTTTCAATTTGACGGAATCCCAATCCAAACAAGACAGCTCCAGTGGGACCTCCCGCTCCAACAATTCCGGCGACCGCTCCGGGAGCGGTAGGGTTGACATAAGGGACGATTCCGTAGGTGCTTCCCTCCGCAGCTTGCACAAAGATGGAAAAGAAGGTCAACAACATAATGGCGGCCCACAATTGGTCGACGGAAGCAAAAAGGAAGATACAGATTCCTTCCATGATCAAAGTGGTCGCCTGCCAAAAGATACGACCCCGCATATTGTACTTGTTCATGAACTTGTCCGAAGTGAATCCTCCCAATCCACGAGCGAAAATGTTCATGAACCCGAAAATGGAAGCAATGGCACTGGCGCTCTCAGTACTCAATGCAAATTTGTCAACAAAGTATGTTGCAGTGAAATTGTTCATGGTCAATTCCACTCCAAAGCAACATGCATACTGCAAGTATAGCAACCATGTGTTAAAATCAATGGCCCCCGAGCGGAAGGACGCGGAAGCCGCGACTTCGGACATGCGTCCATCCTTCTTTATTTGCTTGTAGTTTCCATCGGGACAATCTTCGCTGGTGGTGACAACGATGATGGCAGTTGTAGCCGCGACAATGGCAGGTACAATGCAGACAGTCCTCCATGCTTTTTCAGCATCTCCATCAAAGAATTGGTCGCGGAAGAGAGGGAACAGAAGAGTGCCCATGACAATCTGCGTGACTCCTCCTCCCACATCATCTAAGAAGCGCAATTGTAGGTAATTCTGAAAACGAGACCTCAGGTCTCGTTTGGGAAGCACATCCCAACCTCTCCTTCCGAACCAAGTCCAAGGTTCCAATTAGGCAACCGGTGCTCCAGGCCTTGGCAACAACACCAAGGGAGTAATGATTATATATAGCAGCTTCCGGCCGTTTCAAGAAGAATACCTGGATTGACAAGGAAGTTTAGCAGCGAGAAAACGGATGAAGCCATTGCCCATCTTGTACTGGATCGACTTGGCAAGAAGGCCTTCTGTTTGACCGGCGACCGTAAGAAGGACAAGGGTAATTCTCGCTACTCGATCGGGACCTTTTGGTTGTCTAATTGCCCGAGTGCACCTGACCAATCTGAACCGTTGTTCTTCTCTTTCTTTACAGTGATCAAGGAAGGCGCGCCGCATGGGTTGCCACATTGGAAAGATGCTATCAGGCAATCATGAACGAGCACGCAACTTCGTCGTGAACACGATGTACATCAAGACCGAAGGACTTTTGTGCTCACATTGACTCGACAAGATGCCAACTCCGGAACAGCTCCAAGCTGTGGTGATGCGGGAAGGTTCCTCTTGAAGACCTTGCCCAAGATGCCAGTGCACAAGAAAAGGCACGCGTGAGGAAATCAAGCTGCATTCTTCCCTTTACACGGAGAAGCTTTTGCCATTTGTTCTGGTGCATCCAGCTGGTTTAGGGAGTCAACCGCCACAACAGTTGATTAGTGTGGCCAAGTGGAAGGGAAAGCTGTGTGTTTCTCCCGGATCTGAGGCAATGACCCTCCTCATCTACGAGAACTCCTACACCAGATGAAACTCTGCTTCCAGCCTGGAACAATGACTGTGGCAAAAGAAATGGACTGCCCCAAGAGAGCAAGGACTCGGAGACAAAAAAGTTGCTACCAAGTACTCAAACTCCAAGGTGGGCAATGCCAAGTATGGAGGTTGGTCCAATGCAGGCCGAAGGCGCTACAATGCCCTCAAGCTTGAGTTCAGGATGCCCGTGCCAAGACCAATGCCAAGATGCAGAACAACAAATGCTGAAATGGATGTTGAATAATTGTGGAAAGGAAGACACCAGCCCGATCCGATTCCGTGAACAAGAAGAAGAAGAAGGGCAAGCGTTCCTACGTTGATCTGGTGGACTGTGACTAGGGTCCTTCCAGGTGTCAATTGGCAGCCAAGGCCCCATTGAATGGTAAGCCCTTGGCCGCCTTTGATCCCCTTGGTGCTTTTTGGCAGGGCTTTTGGAGAAATTTGTTGCCCAGTTCTCTCTGTTCGGAAGCCTTCCGGTGCTTTTTCGGTACCCATTGCCTCCCCTTCCTTTTGCTGATCTTTTTATTTTGGTCGGTGGTGGTTGCCATCTGGTTAGCCTTTTTCACCCTTTTCACCCCTTTCACCATGAGGTCTTTTACGGTGATCCTCTTTTTTGGTGACTCACGTACTGCTCTATTTGGATTAGCGTTAACAATCTAGCATTTTGATATTCCCACTCTTATCCTAGTCTTATCTCGTTTTAGCTGGTTTAGTTGAAACTTGGCCAACTGCAGGTCCATTTTGGTAGGTAACGCCTCTGCGATAAATAGCCCCTCTGTGCAGATCTATTGTTGTTGGGAATGCATTCTTCATGTTCTGACCATCCAAAAACGGATGGCGTATGTACTTCTTTTTAGTAGACAATGACTTAACGGTTGGTATACACAATGGGCACAAAGGGTAACATACCACTACTGAAGTTGTTTCCCCTGCCAGTAGTAGATTGTAAAGTACGTCACTACCCAA